AGTGAACAACCCGATAGTCTTCTTCTTATCATAGCATACCAACCAGCAAACACCCAGCCAAGTTTAGTTAGCCAGTTTGAGTATTCGTTACACTATAGCCGGGACTAAGGCGGCGCTAGGACCTAGCGCGGGCGCCGTCGGGGCACGGGCCACCCTAACATCCCACCTTTACTACTCGAAGTACTCGATAACCCTCCCTTCGAAGTACTCGACTACCCTCGAAGCACTCGACTACCCTCGAAGCACTCGAATACCCTTTGTTGGAGTGCTTGATTAACTACCACTAGCTCGAAACTAGCGTTATATAGGGGCTCCTACTTAGTTTCTAAGCGCTTCCTAGGTTCGAGCTAGTTTTAAGCCGGTTTTAAGCCGACTTTAACTCGGTTTTAACTCGGTTTTAAGCAGATAGCGTCTTAGTAGTACAGTAGTATAATTTTATTAATTTTACTAATAAAGTTCTTAAAGTAACTAATATAATTAAGAAAATATACTTTAGATAAGTTATATTACTATATAAAGTAGTTTATTTTAGTAAAGGTACTTTGAATATTATTTAACTATACTAAATAGTATAAGTTATATAGTATCTCTAGTTAATTCTTAGTATATCTACTTATACTTAAAAGGTACCTAGCTCTTATAGTAAAGCGTTATAGAATAAGTAGATATATTATTACTCTAAATGAAAGAAAATTTAACTATTAAATTATAGTAATATTTTATTCTACTATATAAAATCTACCTTAACCTCTAGAGAGAGCTACTAGTAGTAACCTTTAATATATTTGTAACGAATACTCAAACTGGCTAACTAAACTTGGCTGGGTGTTTGCTGGTTGGTATGCTATGATAAGAAGAAGACTATCGGGTTGTTCACTTGGAAGTGAACTCGTCACTTGTATCAAAGATGTCAAACTAATATGATAAGATTGATAACTAAGTTGAGCACGAAGCTCCTATCTAATGGCAGACGTGCTAGTCTTATATAGAACCTTCGTTCTCCCTAGGCCGTCAACTCGCCTGTCGAGCTGGCGGTCCAGATAGCCAGATCGCTAGGCGACCTTGTGACGGAGCTGGATTTCATTTGACAGGATTTCATTCGCTTGGCCAAGCACGTGACGAGACTTGGCATTGGAACAACTTAAATAACTTCGCTCCTTTCAGATTCTCTTCTCTCTTTAGTTTGATTTCT